CAAAAGTATATAGAAATACAATAAGATTTGGCTCAGATTAAATTTCAGTTCACTAATAATGGGGGCATTAATCACTATATAATTAGAATCAACACCAAACCCATTTATTTCATTTCCTCGTAGAACTGTAGAAGGCTAGAAGCCATCATCATTGCCAAAGTAACTAAGTAAGTAATTCTACAATTCATGTACGAACTCAGAATTCATAAGTACATAGGAAAATTGCAGTAGTAAAACCAAGGCAGCAAGCAACATATCCTTAATTTCACTCAGTTTTGTATTCTTAATTTAATTTTTTGGGTGGAAAGTATCATCACTGCTTAAATAATGCAACAATTAATCTAATAACTCATAAGTCATAAATACATATGCATAAGCAAATTCTAGTTTACAGTCTAAGTGGCACCATGTATCTTGTTATATTTGGCTCAGATTTAAATTGACTTCACTATTAATGGGGGCATACGAAACTATATGGAAATAGAATCAACACCAACCCATCAATTTCATTTTTGGTGGAAGCTATCATCATTGCCAGATACATCATACATGCTACACTTAATCAATTAACTCAATGTTCACATTACCAAATTCCAGATTTCCAGTACTTCCCTTAAGGCAGCATGTATCTTGTTATATTTGGCTCAGATTTAAATTGACTTCACCATTAATGGGGGCATACGAAACTATATGGAAATAGAATCAACACCAACCCATCAATTCATTTTGGGTGGAAGCTATCATCATTGCCAGATACATGCTACACTTAATCAATTAACTCAATGTTCACATTACCAAATTCCAGATTTCCAGTACTTCCCTTAAGGCAGCATGTATCTTGTTATATTTGGCTCAGATTTAAATTGACTTCACCATTAATGGGGGCATACGAAACTATATGGAAATAGAATCAACACCAACCCATCAATTTCATTTTTGGTGGAAGCTATCATCATTGCCAGATACATGCTACACTTAATCAATTAACTCAAGAGTGAAAGAAGATTACCATGTCTTGTTGTACAAAGTACAAACACAGTAATTAGGTGAAATTGTACCAGTGAATCAGCAACACTTCCAATACCATGACAGCAACATGGTTAGGCTTTTACAGCCAGATCATTGACACAAGCATAGCAAATCATTAGTGAAATAATATATTACATATCTAAAAGATAAAGGTAAAAAGTATACTACTATCTCATCAAGAGAAGGGCCTCCACCAACATTGCCATTAGTTAATTCTGCATTGAAAACAATAACAAGTTAACAATATGTATAAATATAAACACTGAATAGTAAATAAGCAAAAGTTAGTACCTGTTTCCAGCCTTTCTACCTCCTCAATATTTTCTTCAACTGACACAGGCTGGTTTGACATCCTCAACCAGTCTTGAGCACATATGAGTGCTTCTACAATTTTGGCACTCAAAGAACTCCTAAAACAGTCCAACACTCTTCCACTTGTACTAAAAGTGGATTCAGATGCTACTGTGGAAATAGGAACAGCAAGAATGTCTCTTGCCATCTTAGATAGGATAGGAAACCTCTCACCATTAAGCTTCCACCATCTCAGTATATCAAATTCACTGTCCTCCTCAAGAATGTTCTCACTCAAATATAGTTCAAGTTCATTTTTTTTCAACCCTAAGAGGCCACTATCTTGTTTTTGCTTTTTCAATTGGGCTTTGAATTTTGATACAGGCCTACTTTCAGTTGACTGAGATTGTAAAGAAACAGAACTGAGGGTTAATTGAGAGCTTCCACTGACTGAAACATCATAGTTTGTAACATAATCACCATACAACTCATTCAAACCCAGCTTTATCTTTGCAAAGAATGCCTCACCTATCTTATCCCCATACAAAGCATTCAATTGATGTGGCATGTACTCATATTTGTCTCTAGGATCAAGCACATTTGCAAAGAAAATGAGCATGTTCATTTTTTCTGGATCACCCCAGTACTTGTCCAGTTTGGATTTCATACTAGTCCCCATATTAGATACAGATTCAGTTTTTGAAGCAACCATATCTTTGAGAACAAGGAACAGATCAGATATTTCAGAGAAGAAGGTATTTGCAGTGACATAAAGAGACCCTGAAATCCTAAGTGTCATATCATAGAAATTTTTAAGAATGACCACCAAAGTTTCAATTGCAATCCAGTCCCCAACATCAGGACTCTCACTCCCCAGATCAACAAGATAGGAACTCTCATTCTCCTCATAAGCTTCAAACACTTTTTCATTGGACATTGCAGATTTGAGCATCAAATAGGTTGAATTCCACCTAGTTGGGACATCTAGGTGCAATCCAGCTTTAGTTTCCATTCCAATCAAGTCTGAAATGTCCTTGAATTTTTGAAGCCTAGCAGGAGAATTTCTAACATACTTAACAGCATCCCTGACTCTTTGAACAGAAGAATCACTTTCTTTTAAGCCATCTTGGACAGCCAAATTAAGGATATGAGCAATACACCTCATATGAAGGTACTTAACTTTTACAGAAGAGGCACCCCAAGATAAAAGCTTCTTTTTAAAAAAACCAATTGCAGTGTCATTACTGCTTGCATTATCAACAGTTACAGTGAAGATAGATTTCAATCCCCAATCTACCAGGCAAGACTCTAGGGCTTTAGCTAAGTACTCTCCTTTGTGGGAAGTCACAGGAACAAAGGAAATTATTTTTTTATTCAGCTTCCACTCATTATCAATGAAATGTGCAGTTATACACATGTAATTGATCCTTTGTACAGAGGTCCATGTGTCAGTTGTTATGCTGACCCTCTGAGTGTGTTCCCTAAACAACCTTTTCAGACTTAATTTCTCATCTAAAAAGATTTGGTAGATATCTCTAGCAATTGTCCATCTAGAAGGAATTTGGAACCTAGGACAAGCTACAGAGATAAACTTCCTAAATCCTTGTCTGTCCACAAATCTAAATGACAACTCATCAATGATAAGCATCTCAGCAAGTGCTCTCCTAATTGCAACCTGATCAAACACCCAAGTCCCTAACACCCCAGTTTTTTCAGATGTTGGATTACACAGGACTGGTTGGAAAGTGAGAAGGGCTTGCCTAGCATCCTTTGAGGCAGGCAATTTCAAACAACTGAGTATGTGATTTCTAAGAGAGGAAGTACCATGCTTCTTAGACTGACAACAATAAATTTTACCACAATGTATGCATTTTCCTTTGACAACAACACCATTACTATCTTTGATCTTGTCAAATTGATCCCATATTTTAGATCTGGACTCTACCTCCTTTCTCTTATTTCCAGCAACATTAGTCTGTTGTGTGCTGGTGTTAGCCCCAGCATCATGAGCTTCCACCATAGGTTCTTGGGAAACAGGAGTCAGAGGAGGTTGAGAGCCAGATGCAGGTATGGTATCCATACATTCAACTTCCATTCTGATAGGTGATAGGAATATATAGTTCAAAAAACTCAATGCAAGCTTGCAGATTGAACACAACATCATACAATTACATTAAAGTCTGGAACAATCAGCAAGCTGATCTACAGAAGGATATAAGCAGTAGGCTTATTCACTTCTCTACAGACTTAGAAGATACCAGTTCACTCTAACTACTCGTTTGAGTGTTGGAGTAGAAAAAGGCAACTTCAACACATGTCAAAAGACTCAGAACTCATATTAAATCAACCATCATCTTCACTCAGGGTCCATTTATACACAGGTATCATCGAGGCATCACATATTCAGAGGCCATTTATATCAAAATCTCAGAATCATAGATTCATAGGCATCACCAAAGCATCACAGATTAATATGCAGGTATGGTATCCATACATTCAACTTCCATTCTGATAGGTGATAGGAATATATAGTTCAAAAAACTCAATGCAAGCTTCCAGATTGAACACAACATCATACAATTACATTAAAGTCTGGAACAATCAGCAAGCTGATCTACAGAAGGATATAAGCAGTAGGCTTATTCACTTCTCTACAGACTTAGAAGATACCAGTTCACTCTAACTACTCGTTTGAGTGTTAGAGTAGAAAAAGGCAACTTCAACACATGTCAAAAGACTCAGAACTCATATTAAATCAACCATCATCTTCACTCAGGGTCCATTTATACACAGGTATCATCGAGGCATCACATATTCAGAGGCCATTTATATCAAAATCTCAGAATCATAGATTCATAGGCATCACCAAAGCATCACAGATTAATAGGTAGTTCATACAAAGGGTATCATGGTCCGAATCTAGGGTTTCAAGCTTCCACCAAACACATAACAGTGCATCAAAATAATACAACTAATTCATATATAAAACAGATAACACATCACACTTAGGGATCATGCTTCCACCAAATCACTTTTCAAAGGCAATAATACATATCGGAACATGCATTAAATGGTTTATCACAGATTCACAACGGACCAAGCATACAATTTAGGTATTTAACGTTTATACCTCAGTAAGAATTAAAATTATCGAATGGGTTGCAAGCTTCCACGAATCCACAAGATCACAAGAGTAGAAGACCACAATGCCTTGCAAACTTCGTAACTTCGTAAGCCCGGTACGAAGAAGCAATGAAATCGGAGTACAAGCTTCCACCGGAGTCCGGAGGTACAAACAGACTACAGAGGTCGGACCTACGACGGAGAGTTGACAGGGATGGGTTAGAGAGAAGTCGCAGACTCGCAGGAGTCGCAGTAGGAGAGACCGAGAAAGTGAGAGATTGAGAGAGAGAGTTGCGAGTGAAGAGTGGAGGCGCTGGAGTGTTAGGGTTAGGGTTAGGGTTAAATAATTCGTATATATAGTATGGGTAGTTCGGGTGGTCGGGCGGGTCGGGTAGGGATTTATAATACCCTACCCGTAACCCATAACCCTTAAAACATGGGCTGGGCTTTTCGGTTCGGGTTTTCGGGTTCGGGTCAACCGACCCAATCGGCTACAAGAGGGCAGACCCGATCGGGTGGTCGGGTGGGTTCGGGTTATGCTCACCCCTAGACGTGCCATTGACACCTATGACTCAAACGTTGCTAGTCTCCACACCGTTAGGAGACGACGTGGAGAGAAATCATTACTATCCGTCGTGTGAGGTAGAAGTGACGGGTCAACCTTTGACTTGTGATTTCGTACCTCTAAGCATGTTGGAGTTCGATGCAATCCTAGGAATGGATTGGCTCGAGAAACACCATGCCCGAGTAGATTGCTACACCAAAGTGTTGGAGCTCGAGGATGATCAAGGGAACACGCTATGCTTTGAGGGAGATCGGGGGAAATCTAATGCTTGTATCATATCCGTGATGAGAGCACGGAAGATGATGAGAAAGGGATGCCACGCGTACCTTGCCTACGTGGTGGACGATACCAAGAAGGAAGTCGACATCAAAGATGTACGGGTCGTGTGCAAGTACCCGGATGTCTTCCCCAAAGACCTACCGGGGCTTCCACCCGATAGAGAGATAGAGTTTGTAATTGAAGTGGAGCCGGGAACCAAACCCATTTCGATTCCTCCTTATCGAATGGCACCGGCCGAACTTCAAGAGTTGAAGGTCCAACTGCAAGAATTATTGGACAACGGATTCATCAGACCCAGCCATTCACCGTGGGGGGCACCCGTACTCTTCGTGAAGAAGAAGGATGGTACACTAAGAATGTGTATTGACTACCGACAATTGAACAAGGTCACAATCAAGAACAGGTATCCCTTACCGAGGATTGATGACTTGTTTGATCAACTTCGGGGGGCAATAGTGTTCTCGAAGATTGATTTGAGGTCGGGGTATCATCAGTTGAAGATCAAGGAGAGCGACATACCTAAGAGTGCATTCCGCACTAGGTATGGTCATTACGAGTTCCTTGTGATGTCGTTTGGTTTAACCAACGCACCGGCAGCATTCATGGACTTGATGAACCGGGTGTTTAGTGAATACTTAGATCAATTTGTGATAGTATTCATTGATGATATCTTGATATACTCCAAGAGTGAGGAGGAGCACGAGCATCATTTGGGGCTTATACTTGATCGGCTAAGGGAAAAGCAACTCTTTGCCAAGTTCTCTAAATGCGAATTTTGGCTCAAGGAGATTGGTTTTCTCGGTCACGTCATATCCGGTTCGGGCGTAGCTGTGGATAACGCCAAGATAAAAGCTATTATGGATTGGGAGAGACCCAAGAATGTGAAAGAGATACGTAGTTTCCTTGGCTTAGCGGGATACTATCGTAAATTTGTTGAAAAATTCTCCGTATTGGCGTCTCCATTAACGAAGCTCACAAAGAAAGGGGCCAAGTTCATATGGGACGACAAGTGTGAGAAAGGGTTCCTTGAACTGAAGAAACGACTTACCGAAGCACCAGTCCTCGCCCTACCCATACAGGGGATAGGGTATGATATATACAGCGATGCTAGCATCCAAGGGCTTGGATGTGTACTGATGCAAAACGGTAAGGTGATTGCCTATGCTTCTAGGCAATTGAGGAAACACGAGGTGAACTACCCTACCCACGACCTAGAATTGGGGGCGGTAGTGTTTGCACTAAAAATTTGGAGGCATTATCTCTACGGGGAGACATGTCACATTTATACCGATCATAAGAGCTTGAAGTATGTATTCACTCAAAAAGAGTTGAATATGAGACAAAGGAGATGGATGGAGTTGATCAAGGACTATGACTTGATCATCGACTACCATCCCGGAAAGGCCAACGTAGTGGCCGACGCACTGAGCAGGAAAAGTACGTCGGGGACGTTACTTACTTGTCTGCAGGCATTAAGGGCACGCGTGGAGGTGTCCACGTGTGGGGCTCTCATTGCTCAATTTGAGGTTAGGCCCACCCTATTGGGTGAGATTAGTCGAAGTCAGGCCATTGATGAGGAATGTCAGAAAATCCGTGAAAGAATCCTGGAAGGACCCGTTGAGAACTTCCGAATACGTGATGACGGTCTATTATTGTTTAAGGATCGTGTATGCATACCAAAGAATGAGGAACTCCAGAGGTCTATACTTGAGGAGGCTCATTCTTCAGCTTATGCTATGCATCCAGGAGGTACTAAGATGTACCGAGATTTGAAGGAAAGTTACTGGTGGTCAGGTATGAAGAGGGACATCGCAGAGTATGTGAGTCGATGCCTTACTTGCCAGCAAGTTAAGGCAGAACATCAGCACCCGGCAGGGCTTTTGCAGCCACTCACCATCCCAGAGTGGAAGTGGGAGCACGTGACCATGGACTTCGTGGTGGGGCTACCACGAACAGTGAACAACTATGATGCAGTTTGGGTAGTGGTTGATAGGCTCACCAAGAGTGCACACTTTTTGCCTATCAACATTACTTATCCTCTTGAAAGATTGGCCAAGCTCTACACGGAGGAAATTGTGAGATTACATGGAGTCCCGATATCCATTGTCTCGGATAGGGATCCACGATTCACATCCCGATTTTGGCCAAAGTTTCAGGCATCGCTGGGTACCAAACTGAAGTTTAGCACAGCTTTTCACCCACAGACGGATGGACAGTCCGAGCGGGTGATACAGATTTTGGAAGACATGCTTAGGGCATGTGCTTTGGAGTTCCAAGGAAGTTGGGACAAGCATTTGGCCCTAGTGGAGTTTGCTTATAACAACAGTTATCAAGCAAGTATCGGCATGCCTCCATATGAGGCATTGTATGGGAGGAAATGCAGAACACCGTTGTGTTGGGACGAGGTTGGCGAGGCCAAACTCGAAGGGATAGAGCTGGTTGAGATCACCAAGGCCAAGGTAAGGATCATTCGGGATAGATTGAAGGCTGCTCAGGACCGACAGAAGAGTTATGCTGATAAACGGCGGAGACCGTTGGAGTTCGAAGTCGGTGACGAGGTCTTCCTAAGGATTTCTCCTTGGAAGGGCATCATTCGATTTGTATCGAGGGGAAAGCTTAACCCCCGATACATTGGTCCATTTGAGATCCTTGAAAGGATTGGAGCCGTGGCTTATCGTCTCAAGTTAACGCCGGAACTTGAGAAGATACATGATGTGTTTCATGTATCAATGCTCAAGAAGTACATACGGGATCCCTCTCATATTCTTGAGAAACCGCCAGTAGAGATCCGTGGGGATTTGCAATATGCGGTGGAACCAGTGAAGATTGTTGGTCAACAAGTGAAGAAGCTTAGGAATAAGGAGATTCCTATGGTAAAGGTCCTTTGGAGGAGTGATCGAGTCGAAGAAGAAACTTGGGAGACCGAGGTCTCAATGAGGGAGCAATACCCATTTCTTTTCGATTAGATACTTGGATTTCGGGGACGAAATCCCAAATAAGGGGGGGTGAACTTGTAACACCGTCCCCAAATATATTTACTTTTATGTAAATAATGTATTGAACCTTATTAAAGGGTTAATGAATTTACGAAGTTGTAAATTTTTACTACTTCTTTCGCGTGAATAGTAAATTGCACGTGGGACCCACACCGAGTGTGGGGGCTGCCCGACATTCCCGAGACCATATATTTTATTCATCTTGGTCTAGATAATAAATATATATTGGTGGATATTTCATTTGGGCCATGGAAAGGCCCAGAGTTGACCGATCGGTCAAAAGAGGCCCAAATTACCGGTACTGGTAATTTAACGGATAACAGCCCGAACTGAATTTCGGAGGCTTATAAATTAAAGTTGGGGAATGTATATTCATTATACATGTCATAATGAGTAAGAGCACATAATATATTTTATTGGACCTGATAAAATAAAATATATTTAAAACAGTCCAAAAAATACAACTTTCGGGACCGATTGTACACTTCGGGACAAAAAGGGTTGACCTCCCACATGAGTGGGGGCCAACCCACGTTTTTGCCACTCAAATTGGAGGGGTTGGCCGGCTGGTAAGAGAAGAGAAGCATGGGAGGAGGCTTTGATATGATCTTTATGGCATCAAACAAAAATGAGGTGGCCCCCATCCACACTCATTTGTTCAATGAGACAAATGGGTAAGCCTCACCCCTCTCCCACCCTCATTTTCGGCCAAGAGAACCCAGGAAGAGCAAAGAACCACCCAACCTCCTTCCTCCATTGTTGAAGAGAGCTCATCAAAGAAGAATCACCCAAAAAAGAGCTAAAGTGCTAAAAGTGTGAAATAATTAAGGTAATGACCTTATTATAACTTTTTCTTTATTTTTCTTCTACCATATGAGATATATATCATGTGAAGAATCCTTAAGAGGGTTCTACATGTTATAAGTATGGATTAATGGGTTGGAAAGGGATTCTATGTCCAAGAACGGACTTAGAAGCCAAAACGACCGGTTCACCGGAAAATAACCGTTTTGAGGTTATTTGCATTAATATGGGTTTTATGATTATAAAACCTTGTTAGGAACTTGTGAAAGGTATTTCAAGTGATTTCACAAAGTTGGAAAAGTCGCCGGAGTTGTCGCCGGAGTTGACCGAAAGTCGCCGGAGTTTCACCGGAGTTCAACCAAGAAGGGTAGAACTTCATAACGCTAATTCAAGGTGAGTGGACGGCTTAATATCTTATAACTTTTGGGTTAATTATGAGATTACCTAAATAAATGTTATATGAGTTCATAATAATGTTTAAAAGATATTTAAACATGTGATTAGCCAATAGGGTTAAGATTGTATGAAAGAAATAAATTGTTTGTGCATGGAATATGATATGAAGGATTTTATAAAATACATATTTGTTTGAAATGTATAAGATGCACAAATGAATATTATTAACTTAATTACATGATGGTTAAGTTGATAAGTATAAGACTTGTAATGGCGGCCAACGACAACGTTGACCGATGGATAATGAATTAATTAATATCGGTTGGTATTAGTTAATTATGTATTTATATAATTGCATGGCTTTGCATGGATTGTGATACATAAGCTTGATGTATTGGATTAGTTATGAGGAACTAAGTATGATATAGACTCTATCTAGGTTGATAGAAGGTTGATCATAGGCAAATATATTGGTGGAGGACCCTAGTACTTAAAAGTACTTAACACTCAAAATTTGGTGGAGGACCCTAGGACTTAAAGTCCTTAACACTCGGATTATAAATTGGTGGAGGACCCTAGTACTTAAAAGTACTTAACACTCAAACTTGGTGGAGGACCCTAGTACTTAAAAGTACTTAACACTCAAACTTGGTGGAGGACCCTAGTACTTAAAAGTACTTAACACTCAAACTTGGTGGAGGACCCTAGTACTTAAAAGTACTTAACACTCAAACTTGGTGGAGGACCCTAGGACTTATGAGTCCTTAACACTCACAAACCGGTGGAGTACCCCAGGGATTATGATCCTCAAAACTCGTAGATTATGATATTGGAATAGGGACAAGGAGGAGTCCTATACACTCATTGGTATATGGGTGGGTTGGGGTTTTTAGTCAAGAATATTGACTATTACTATTTTTCCCAAATAAAATGGTGATCTACGGATCGGATATTTTCCAAGTATATATTTATACTAATAAATATTTCATAACTTGGGGGAAAGACTATCTATTTAAGTATCACCCTATGTTTGGGTCTTATACTTGAAACGTTAGTTATTCTATATTTAGCCTGCTACTCGCTCGGTACTTGTACTGACCCCTTCGGGGGGCCCCACCATTTTCAGGTTGAAGCTAGGGCTTGCTACTTGCACCTTCTCACGGGTGGTATCAAATCAGGAAGACGTGGTTCGTGCTTCCTTATTTTCTTTCAAACTACCGAACACTTGCTCATGGATATTTGTTCTACTATAAACTATTTTTGGGGCTTGCATGCCCATGTTGTTGGCCGGTTGTGGCTTATGACTTACCGTTGAATATTTCCGCTATTCATTGGTTTAAATGTGATGTTGTTATGTATGTTTACTACTGAGCATGGATGGATTGTTTTCTCAAACGCCTTATGTAATTAAGTGAGGTTGACTCGCGGGTGACGTCACTTAATTATACGGCGGTTGTACACGCGCTTGGATTGCGGTCTGGGGCGTGACACGGCGGCTGGCGGTATGCCCGCATTTGTCATGGTCTGAACGTCGCTGTCAGAATACGGATGACAGCATCGGCGCCGAGTGCCGACACCCGAAGATGAACTTTAGCAGTACCTCCGCGTACTTGGGTACGTACGGAGATTTGGCAAGGGAACGCCGTTGCCCAAAACAAATGAGGAACAGAAATGAACGTCCTCGCAGACTTTAACTTTGCAACGAAGTGTATCGAGGCACGGAAGGAGATCCCACATAACAGGCGATAAGAGAAACAGAAACTATGAAATGAAGATCATGAACGTAGAGACAGTTTTGGGCAAAAAGGGTGTATATTCTTCAGCTCTAACAGATGGGCATTACAAGTCGAAATAAAAAGAAGTACAATTTACATTACACCATAAAAGGGGATTCAGGCCGGCTGCCTCCCGGAATCTGCTCCTCCTCCTCGGCTTCGGGCTCAGGGGTCGGGGGTTCCGGAATTTCACCTCTGGCCTTGGCCTCCTCTCGTCGTTGGTCCCTCCCCAGTTTCCCCAAGGCTTGAAGCAGCAGGTCGTCGTCTGTGTTCGCAGCCAGCTCGAAGTCGGCCCCTTGCAACCTCGAGAAGATGGGGAGGGTGGCCTTGACCCCCTCGTTGTAGCCAGCGGCGAAGGTGCTGTCGCCGACCTCGTAGAGGAACTTGTGAGACAGGGGGAGCTCTCCAAGATCCGGACGCCGCACGCCAGACGCTGCCGGGGCGGAATCTTCGCCAGCGCCGCAGAGAACACATCGCCGAAGGCCCCGGCGCAGTAGTCCTTGGCAGAGTCCATAAACTCCCCAGTGTTCCGGTAGCCGGAGGTATCAACCAGCCATTCCGGACTGGCATCCTTTGCAACAGGGTGCACCGGGACAAGCTTGAAGCCGGCTTTCTCAAGGCTGACCAGCTGCTGGCGAGATTCTGCCCGCAGGGCGGCGATCTCCCTCTCCTTGGCCGCAGACTCCGCCTCGGCTCGATGGGCGGCCTCCCGAGCTGCAGCAACAGCCGCATCGGCCCTGGCCTTAACCTCTTTCAGGTCGGCCTCCCTAGCAGCTTCAGCCTGAAGGACCATAAGCCCAGACTGGAGGAGAAAACAAAAAAAAAAAAAACAATGGTCAGAGGATGAGCGCCAAGGGAAGGGTATATTAAGATCTGGTAATGAGGGGTTACCTGAAGAGCGGCTGCCAAAGCAGCACTGGTCGCCTCAGACGACGAACGGCGGGGCAACTCAAGACCGGCCTTGAGGGCCATCTCCCTCCAAAGGTCTTCCGCCGGACGGCTCAAAGGCAGGGAGCCAGCGTCTTCGAGCAGAGGCCCGATGGAGGCTGCCTCACGGCCCCTCTTCTGCTTCTTCTCGGGGACCTTCTCTGTCCCCTTCTGAGGAGCCGCCTTCGTGGGGGCGACCGGCGGTGGAAGGGCAGCTTCGAGAGCAGGGGCCCCAGAACCCTGAGCCAGCATGGTGGCGATTAAATGCTGCTCACCCTCAGCAGTTCGTCGGGCAGCATCAGAAGCGGAGGAGTTGGAATCCGAGGCGGGGGCATTCTTGGCTTTCGCCATTGCGGCTTTAGCAGCAGCCGCCTTGGCCTTCCTTGTTTTTAGACACTCAGCGTGATTCATCTGAGCTCTATCTGGCGGATTACCTGCAGGAAACAATCAAGGGTTAAAAGACGAACAGAGAATGTAATAGGACACTCACCTCGAAGCACAGGACCGCCCGATGCCCCGAGACGAGCGTCGAAGGGTGGAAAGAGTCCAGAGACACGGGCGGTACCTATGCCTGCCCCGGAGAGTGCCTCGAAGGTCAGGTATCCGGCTATAGGGCAGACGCCGCCCTCCAACACCTTCTCCACGTCCCAAAGCAGATCGTCGGACGGCTCCGGTGACTCGATCTTCGGGGGATAGCCGTTCTACCGAATCGGGAGGGGAGGCCCATCGTATCTGAGGAAGAAGAAGCGGTTCTTCCAGTCGTGGATAGACGAAGGGTAGTTCTTGAACAGCCGCCTTCCGGGACGTGCGGCCACGCTCAGATATCCGTCAGAGTTCTGGGGAGTAATGCGGTAGAAATAATGGAACAGATCCAAAGTGGCAGTGACTCCCGCCAGTTTGCAGCGCACTAGGAAGGCTGATATGAACCTATAAGAATTTGGCATAAATTGCGTCGGGGCCACCTGGAAGCAGTGGAAGAACTCCACATAGAATGCATGAAGTGGAAACCGCAGCCCGGCTTCAACGGAGTCCAGGTGAAGCATGATCATCCCCGGACGTCGCCTCATCACGTGCTCGGCGCCTCTCACGCTCCAGACGAACGGCGGGGGGAAGAAAGTGCGGATTTTGTTAAGAGCCACGCGGGAGAGGACTTGATCATGGTCAAAGGCGCTTCGGATCGGACAAATGTGGCGCTCCATGTTCGTAGGGATGCCCAGATCATGCACCTCCATGTCAGAACCTGATTCGGCCTCTTCCCCGGAATCATAATCGGCGGGGCGCTCATTCAGGGGGACTGCATCAATAACATCCACTGCCCCATCGGTGTCCCCGTCCCCGGCGTCGCACCCACTACCTTGGGAAGCGTCATCCAGCTCGCCATCAGCCCGGATGGTCCCCACCGTCGTGGCCGAACCAGAAGTCCCAGAAACACTGGCCTTTCTCGGGGAGCGCGCATTCACGTCGTCAGAAGAGGAGCCCGAAGAGGAACCCGACGAACCGGAATCAGAACTTGACGAAATCTCCATCGAAGTCATTTCGGCTAGGAGACAGAACAAAGAAAAGAAGCAAAGGAGGAAAATTACCTTACAAAGAGACTAGCTGAACTCAGAAGCCAAGCAGGGAACTCGAAGAACAGCGGAGATTCTAAAGCAAGGGAGCAGAAATTGGGAACCTAATTCAGGGGGAAAACCCGGCATTTATAGGGGGAGCACCGGTTAAGGGGCCAACGAGGGGTTGACACGTAGCAAGGAGCGTGGTCCGACTCACGCGCCATGCGTGGGATGGAAGCGTAATGATGACACTTCCTCGGGAAAATGCATCGCCGCTACAGCAGCCGTCACCTCGTTTCCTGAACCGTCGACAGCTGTCAAGCACCATGACCACGAGCGTACGCTTCCACTGGACGCAGTAAGCACAAGTACCAAGACACGAACGTCTACTTCGAGGGGGTTTATACTTCCTTATGTCCCGCGCATGCTCAGAACATCAGAAGTGGGGGACTTGTGTTGGGTTAAGGGCCCAAGCCGAGGTCCGGCCCACTAACCCCTTCTTTACCAGACGTACGTCCAGTCAGACCACAAGGCCAGCCGCAGGCCCATGTTCCTTGGGGAGGGACGAACGTCTGGGGTTGGGAGTTCAGGCCCAACGGTTCATCCCGACGAACGTCTATGCAGGGACAAGGAGCAGGACCACGGGCCACCAGGGATGACGACGAACGTCCCCATGGCAAGCCTATACTCATCCGGGGAAACCCAGTGCACAAGGCCAGGAGACGAACAGCCGGTATCTCTTGAGGGTCACTTGGAGCGATCCAACTCACTTTCCGGGCGGACGAACGTCCCCACTGATTAGGCGGGAAGCCTAGATTCTGGCGGGAAGTGCATTTAATGCTGAAGATTTGCTAGTTGGGGCACCAGCGGTCCACAGGCTGCCACGTCAGTATAGCCACCTGCCCATTGGTGGGTATAAATAGAAGCATTTATTTCATTGTAAAGGGTTGGCAACTTTCTATTCTTAGCATTCTAGCTTATTCCTCTTGCTCGCAGCTGAGACTACCGCCTAGCGAGACGAACGGCCGACGTGCCTTTTTTAGTAAGTAGATTGTACTTAGGGGAGTTATTACAGAGTTAATAATACCTATTTACATTGCTTATTATATCTTCTGCTTCCTGGTCCATCTGATAGTTGTTGGGCTAGATATTCACATACTCATACACCCACTCCACTCGAAATCTTTGGGCTTACGTGTTGGGCCTGAGGGTTGAAGGAATAAACCTCAACAATTATATTACTCTTTAACTATACAAATAGAAATATAAGATAAAATTCATCTCACGGCAAAGTTAATTTATCATATTTGATCAAATTTATCTATCCCATTTATGCATAGTTTCCTACCATTCCCCCCCAACATTTTTCAAGCTTAAAAAAGTCTAATAAATTGAATAGTTTTAATATAATTAGAATTTATAAAATGATAAATTTAAGATTATATATCTATCAATCATAATTATTACTATGTTTCACTTCAAAAGAGAATCTTTTAATAAATATATTAACATTTAATTACTCCTACAAAAAATTAACAAATAAATACTAAAAAAATTGGAAAGTTGGGAGGGGCCATGGCCCCCCTACCCCAAAGGGTAGGTCCGTCCCTAGTTTGAACTCAAATAAGATGCTAGAACTCGAGCTAAAAATATAATATGTGTATTTATTCATTCTCATTTTTAGTTTATCTCTCCTTTACTGACATTTTTATTCTTTATTTTACTGTCAATAACTATTACGGGTACATATTATAATTATTACAGATTATGGTTACGTACATGTTATTATTTTTGTAATTATTACTATTATAATATACTGCGTGATAAGTACTGAAAATGGAATAGTCCTAAATTAGAATACAATTTCCAATATATATAATTATTATATATTCCCTCTGTCCCAAAATGAAGTTCCCGATTTGAACTATACGCATATTTATGTATGATAGAGTTTTATTTTGATTTTCCAACCATATCCTTACTTTATGTCAATTCAAACAAATAGTAGATAAAAAATAAAGGTAGTTGTGACTTTTGTTTTAAAAGTGATTTTCTTTTGTAGAAATGAAAACTTCTTTTGGGGACATCCATAAAAGGAAAGTATGAACTTCTTTTCGGGATGGAGTTAGTATAATATACTTCCTCCGTCCCATAAAATTTGACCAATTGACATTTCTTGGTCAATGGTAATAAATTTCAGATAATGATTTTAGTTATTATATGTGTGTGAAATGTACAAGATTTATACTTCTATGAAAGTACTTTTGACAAAGAACGTTTTCATATAATTTTCATATTTGAAATAATTACATATTAAAAAATATCAAGGGTCAAACTTGGCCATCATTAACCAATAAAAGTCAATATGACCAAGTTTTATGCGACGGAGGAAGTATGATACAAAGGCTCTCGAACCAGCTTGCGAGCCACGAGCCTAAAATGAATAGACTTGAATTGAGCTTAATTGTAACTATTCGAGTCGAGTTTAATATGCCCGAACTCGAGACGAACTTTTTCCAAGCGATCTACGAAAAGCTCGCGAGTGGCTTGACTCATTTACACCCTAGTGGCTAGTTGTTGCCATTGTTGCACGACCCATTCGGCCACACCAAAACGATACGGTAAATTATTAAAATTGACATTGTATCACGAGGTTTCAAGCGGTTCAATACAGTCCGATTTAGTATATGGTATAATAACATGTCAATACTAATAGATTTGGAAAGAATACTTCGATCTTGATATATAATTGATCTTTCAAGAACTGCTAGTTTTAAACTATACAATGTAGGAAGTGTGTTGGTCCAAAATAAGACACTCGTAGACTTTTAGGAAAGCTACGATAAACACTTAAGCAAGAATCAGGAAAGTAACACGAATAAGAAAAGTTGCTAAAGAAGTTTAGTTGTCAGAAATAGTGTAGAATCAGGACATTCGTTCATTTGAATTACAACTGCCTTTTATATGCATTTAGAAATTGTAACCGTTATCAATAATAATGACTAATTAATTACAACATTAATACGGAATTAAATACATAATTAAACAACGCATTAATTGCTTGACCGTTACTTTTCCTGACTGGCAGGTCGGCCGGGCTGACAGGCTCCCGACGGGGTTAGTAAGCAGACCCTAAGCTTGGGCTTTGGGCCTGCTAGCTCAAGTCATGGGCTTGGACTCACGGGTTCAAGTTCGAAGCTTGGACCGATTACGCTCTGGGCCGAGTCGCATAACTCCATCAAACTGTGTTTTAAGTTTTTAAAAGGATGTTCTCGTTCCCCATCCTAATGTAATATCAATGTAAGAACAGTATACAAAATGGGAGTTTAGTAAAGAACCACGTTTGATGTATTAATACATCACCTGATTAGAATCAGTGGTCAGTGATACCATATAAATCAAACTTATGCAAAGCCCTTACTATGCACCCCATATCGAGTTATCATTAAAATAGAAATGTTCTCCCCCTTTAATCGAAACCAAAATAAAGGTAGTGTTAGGCTGTAAAGAGTTACTAAATGTTGAGTTGAATAAGAATTTTATTGGGGTGGCCAGAGCCTAAAAATCCCAATTCAGTTCGGTTTTTATGTCCATCCCGTAATAGTAATTCAACGTACTCACCCAAGTATACATGCCCAATTCTTTTAATCAAGGTTGTTAAAATCGTATTTTCAGATCGAATCGGAATGAGATTTTAAAAATCGAATCGTAAAATGGAATCGTAAATCGTAAGATTTTACAAAACAATTAAATAAAAATTATTAAAAATACTAAACAAAAGGAAACTCAAAATATATCATTATTATATCAAACCAATATAAGTTTAAGTCTTAAAATAATGTTCTAAGTAAATTACACAAAATAATTAATAACAAAGTAACGTTTTTTTTAACAAATAACAAAGTAACGTTATTAAACCAAAATAGTCTTGTGTTATCAAAGAACAAAAGTCACGTGAAAATAAAAAATGATATTCTAATCTTACATGAAGAACATTGAAGAACATTGAATGAGTAACGTAAAAGTTACATGAATAAACATAAAAGGCCATGGTCAACTATGTAAGGACTTGATGTGGGAATTGAGAATTTGAGATTGAAACCCGACGCTTGGTTGTTGTTTTGAGCTTTTAAAAAAGGTTCTTTTTCTTCCCACACCGGATAGCGAGGCAAATCCCCTCCCTTCCTCGCCTATATAACTCTCGCATGTGGAAAACTTCAAGCAGGAAGCCAACAACTCGATTTGCCTTGCTGTCCAGCGCACTCTAGCTGGAATCGATTTGCTCCAAAGTCAAAATCGGTTGTGATTTTAGTGATTTTTTTACGATTCAAATCGGTTTAGTGTTTTTGAATCGTAAAATCGATTTTGTCAACGATTTGAATCGCGATTTTAACAACCTGCTTTTAATGTTTCATATCACATAGTTTGAAATCTTCTATTAAACCACAAAGATTATACGGAAATAAAGAGTTCCTAGCTGAAAATTTAAAACAAAACCACTCTTTTCTTCCTTGGTTTGAGACTGCAATCAAAGAAACCAATAACATCCCATCTCAAGGAATTCTAATCTACATTAGTACTAATAATAGAGTATAGTATTGAAATTGATTTGTAATTAAATTGCTATTAAATCTAATTATTTAGACTATCATTTTCATATATATCCATAAGTTCTAAATTTTAAATGTTTTGATAGAACTGATCATGATACTGATACACTTTCAATTATAAGGTATCCATCATCTAGATTAAATACTACTTCCTCCATCCCGCAAAATACTTCCTGGTTTCCTTTTTGGGCCGTCCTAAAAAATAGTTCTCATTCCCCTTTTGGAAAATTTTTTGTGGCTTACATTCATTTACTTTTTTCTTACACAGCCACAACCACACGTACATTTTCACTTTATTCTCACTTTCTTAAACTCCAATTCAAATCAATGCGGGAACTATTTTATGGGGCAGGGGAGTATTAATTTTAAACAACATACACAACACAGATTAACTGTATTCTCATCATTTGAATTAAACATCGCCTCTCATCATTCCTATGACATACTAAATCTAGTTTAGAAGTAAAGTAGGATATATCCCAATTGAGATTAAATTGTTCTTAAATTAAATTGCTATTAAACTCAATCATTAAATTGGTGTATTAAACATATTAACTATTCTAATTAAATATAGAGAACCATAATGCTAAAGTATAAGTCATCATTCCAATTAAATGTCACTAATTTCAAACATCATTATTTCATTCAATTAATCATGTTATAACCATTCGGATTAAACATTACAACTATAAAATAGAACCTTATTCAATTAAAGATTTAGGAGTCGTCTTCCCAAACATAACAATTTGGTTGAACATTACAAATAATAAAAGCCCATTAAACAGGATATATTGTTTGTACTTTTCAACGTAGTCTTCATATCTTAACAAATTTACACCTCACTTATCTCCTAATCATAACATCAAAAACTAAAAGATACATATTACGCCTCCTATCCCAATCTATTCCAATAGGATGGCATATTCATTCGATTGTTTAATTTATATTTAATTATTTTATTAAAAATCAAGTTAGATTTCATATAATGATCGAAATCTCACCGATAGAGTATATTTCCGTACACCCAAGGGTCCAGAGATGGATGGTTCGGAACGAGGGCCCAATCTATCTCAACAACTTTGGTGTCCATGCGTCCAAAGAAAACGGTGAAAAACTGCCGCGCACAGCATGCGCGGCCTCCAGTAACCTCTCCGTACGTGATTTCTTCTTCCGCGTGTGGCATGCGTGCTTCATGCGCACAACGTTCTCATTTCTCATTCGAATTTGACTATACTTCTTTCAACAAAGTTATAGCTAACGAAGTCCTCTAACCATCACAACTTGCAAACCTGGTATTGGACCATCCAATTAAAAGATATGAATAAAATGGTTGAAGTTCACATCATGAAATCTCAACAACAATTATGTGACTTCCTCGTCTCGTTTCTCCTTGATCCTCTCACATTATCGTCATGATGTCTTTATAATATTTGTAGCCCATTGAGTTATGTTTCATATGAAATTTGAATCGTGCCTTTTGAATATTTATATGAAAAGATATGCTCAGAAGATTTACATAACGTCATCTTGATTGCCGTTTCCAAGCTCTATTCATCCCCGTTTGATCTTATACTTGATCCTTGAGCTCCCTTACTTCAAAATCACTCCTTCAATGTCTCCTGGACCTTCAATCCTTCTCAATAACTCTGAAATGTGTCTCGAATACTCCCGAATAAATCTCCAACGCTGATGTTGGGCTCATTTTCCTAATTTTAATTCTAAAAACACCAAATGCAAACAAAAACCCGATAAACTGTGACTTGAGCTAATTACATGTTTTGTGACACATTTAAGCTAGGAAAACTTATAAAAACCAATCCCAACGCGCATCAAATGCATGTCAAAATAGACATCAGATTGCATAATCTTTTTTCATAAGGTGCATTGTTATAATACATATACAGAGTACAATAGAATGAGGTGAAAATTCAATGAAATGGAGATATCTAAAAGAGCATATTATTTACCAAAACATCACACAACAACATCAGCGGTACAAAAAACCTATAACGAGAAAATGGGGGAAAGGAAAATGGTCTTAATACTCTGTACTTTCTATAGACCTTTTCCTAACACAAAAACTTTTCATTTTTATCAAATTATAAAGAGTCTACAAATGTACATGCCTTACAATGTTTTCTATCAAAAATCCTAAAAGGTTGTACCTTTCACTATTTAACAGAAATACAAGATTTTAAGCTTTAGTATTAAAGCCTTTTTCTCTACAACAGATCGAGTTCTCTAAGACGTTCTAGATGTACACGGTCCAACTCTGGCGGAGTATAACGACCATGCTGATCAACCACAACATACACCTGTGACATTTAGGAGAAGCATTAGTCAAAATCGATAATATTATAAGTGTTACTCCTGTAGTTTATCAAAAACAAAATCACAGACACAATTATGATCAAGTATTGAAAATATCCTCATGTTGACTCCATAATTTAAATGAAATATCCATCATGGTATAGTCATTGTGACAATAAAACAACGTTCACTAAGTAGTAAATGTCACTTTTTTCATCAATTTTAATCTTAGTTATGATGTAAACCATGACCATATTGAAGAAAAAATAACTAATGTCAAGTTAATAAAGTTAGAGTTGTGACCTTTGTAAGGTTTCTTTTGGTGAGGAGTTTGTATTGTCTATGCCAGCTCCTTTGTATAGCAAGGCTCACAGTAAATAGGCCGTATGCAACGCCAAAGAGGACACAAACTATTGCAAAACATAAAATCATAATTGGAGCAGGAAAGCATTCCAACAAGTAAAAAATCAAACAACAATTCTGGCAGGTGGCTATGCGCCGGTTAGAGCCACCAAGGGAGAGGCACCTTGGTATGACCAAGAAACATCCATATATAAAAAGGAGGCCAAGAGCTCCTGTTCAAACATAATATATCATTAAAGCAGCTTATTCTTGAACAAGGAAACAAAACACTGATAAAAAGTTATTACCCAAACTGTAATAAAATGGTACAGGATTGTCCGGGAACACTTTAATACGACCATTTAGTGTCCCGTGAAATTTTCTTCCACTATCCATGATGTATAGATAGAAACCGAGAGATACAATTACCTGAGAAAGAATTGAAAACTTGAGACAAGAAAATCTTTCTTAACTAACCTAATGCAATTACTAGGCCTAGAAACTTTTCATGGATTACTCTATTTTGGGTACACTTCTAGTAGGAAAAGCACAAAATCTAAATTAGATAAAAAATAGTGTACTTACAAATTGTATAATTAAAAACTGGCGGAAAACATCATTGATGACAAATAGTTTGTGCTTTATCCTTGTTACAATATCATCACTTAAATCTACCACTAAAAACTCGAACTGTGCCTTGCATGTTGTGCAATGTGAAAAGGCAAACCCTTCCTACACAAAAACAAATACATGGAAAGCATTTGAATGTTCTCTTCATGTATGTATAGCAAATCATTTCCATAGAATCACATTTCTGAAGGAATAGAAGTGGCTCACTTTTATGGAGCGCCAATGGTCAAGACAATGGCGATGCACAAACTGTTGTGATCCTTTGCATAAGCAAGGAGATATCAGTTCTCCACCTCCACGAAAGAAAACAGTTATTAGAACATAAAGATTAGTACAAACAAGTAAATATGTGATGGGGGAGCAATTACAAGGATAAATCAACAAAAATGAACTTATACAACGTTGGCAGGTGGCAATAAATGGAAATAGTTCACTAAGTTAACCCCTGCTAGACAATTTCAAAATGTTTCAACCTTAAATAGATTATAAACCATATATGTAAAGAAAATAAGTAAATCTTCTACAATACTTGTAAAGTTTCCTTTCAAAATCGGAAATTAACAATCAATGCAACCCACTAGTAACAAACAACATTTACCAAAACTTTTTAGAATATAGTGATTAACTTTAGTTTTTTCCAATTTAAATAACAATCTTTACCTTCATTTTCTAAACAGATTCTACAGCAGACTGTTGCACCAGCTTCGAGATCTTGCAAATTTGTTATCTCATTGGATCGGGTCCTCTGGGTGCAAAGTTGACGGTTAGAGACTGTAGAAATTGGGGAATTTTCAGTTTCTCTAATGGGAGTAGCCATTTCTTATGAGACAGATAAAGCAAAGAAATAAATTGGATCTGTTCGGTGGAAAGATGGGAATGAGAGTGTTGAGATTTGTAGATGAAGTTGGTGAAGTAGACATATAGATTAAGGCATCAACATAGTGTTGGGCGTTACGGTCATTATTTGTTTCTTTCCTAAATTTGGAGGAAAAGATCATTTTAAAATTGATTTGTTTCACAAGCTTGGCCATGAAGCTTGCTAGCAAGAGGCTGACGTGAACCATTGCATAATCACACCGCTTTCGGTTGAAGATAGATATATGATGAGTCACCTGAATGGATATGGACGAAACATAGAGGTTTGACATTTTTTATACTTTGAGGGCCTCAATTTACTTAAAATACACCGCCTCTACTACTTCAGTTAAACTACAAATATCTTTTTCCTTCCCCGCATACAAATATAAATATAAATATAAATCTAATGTAAATATAAATACAAATCTAATGTAAACGTAAATGTAAATGTAAATGTAAATGTAAATGTAAATGTAAATGTAAATGTAAATGTAAATGTAAATGTAAATGTAAATGTAAATGTGAATGTGAATGTGAATGTCAATGTGAACGTGAATGTGAACGTGAATGTGAACGTGAACGTGAACGTGAACGTGAACGTGAACGTGAACGTGAACGTGAATGTGAATGTGAATGTGAATGTGAATGTGAATGTGAATGTAAATGTAAATTCTCTTTGGAGTAACTACAAGTATGTGATTTTATTTCTTCCAAAATATTGTGACTCATTACATTTCACCTTGTATATATAACATATACAACTATATTCTAATAGGTGTATGACTAATATATAACATATCAAGTCATAACTGGTCAGATTATATCTTCTTAGTCTAGATTTAGTTTAATATGATTAACAAGACAAATCACGGCAGACAAGATTATAATGGTCATGAAGTTACACTTATAGTGGAAATTGTATTAAAGTAATCTTTTAGTAAAAATTCATTGGATAAAGCCTTAATTATATTTTGAATTTGAAAAAGGTAGAAGATTTTCAAAGAGAAGCATTTACAATTATTCAATGTATTGTCAAGTGCTTTAAAAGAATCGATGAGATATGCATCGCCACCAAATACAATAATTGCATATGGACTTTTTCAAAACTAAAATAAATTATATTTAGTAAAATAATATATTCAATTACATAATTCCCCAATTTGAAGATCCAATTCAATGTTTTTCTTTTTATAGAGAACCCTCTTTGAATATCATTAATAATATTTAAAGAAATTAAATTAGTGGTTAGTGATTTTCAAGGATTCACGCACACGACATAGTCATGACTACACTACTTTTTGAAATGGTCAAAATAAATGTGAATACATTGAAAGATAATTGCCATATATTTTCATGGTAATCAAGGCAGATTCTTCAAATTAAAAAACATTGTGTATGTACCATTTGTAATCATGATCAACCTCTATGTAAATTAAAAGTTTTGCTCAACCAATCATGGCATAATCTTATATTTTATAACTATTGAAGTCTGATCTAGTTTCGTCTATTCAAGTTTGGTTTGGTTTATTCGGATATGGTATGGGATTTAATTAAATCAATCCGCGTAAAAACATTCTATGAAGCCATGAGTGCAGGCGCACCATTTAGTGGTGCCAATGCATTGCTAATTACAGAGTACTTTTTTCAAAACCACCAATGCTCTAAAAATCATTCAAACACGCACATTTGAGTTAAAGAGTCGCTCACTTTCTCTTTATCCGAAAAAACGCACCAGTGAGGCTTTTTTCGTAGTGCCAAGGTAATATCATTTCGCCAAAACGTGTTAAAATTACAGTTGTAAAATTAGTTGTCAATGGTTATTATAAAGCATGCAATCGTACATGAATAACTACATAAGTGCTTTCAGCACACCATTTAATTTAGTGGTGCTAGCGCAACAGTAATTTTGTTAAGCCACCAATACTTTAAATAATATAAACACACACATTCATACCATCTCTCATCATAACGATTAATTTTTTTTATGGATTTCATGTCTCCATATGCATATATAAAGACCAGAGTATGCATGCACAAAGTTGATAAGCACGCTTTCTAAGTGCATAAATATGTTATTTTATTATTGTTTGTTTGTTGTTTTACTAGTTTTATTTATTTTGAGATGCAATCCTTTTATTTCAGTACTTGTGTGTAATTTGTGCTTATGTGTAAGTTTGTTGTAAGGGAATGTAATGGAGTATTTCAGGTACCAAAAGAAGACAAAGAGAATCTTGAATATAAGTGTTGGTACAAAACCCGATCAGGTTGGAGAAAACTCGGTAGGGATGGAATTTACATAGGAAGCAACTAGGAAGCTACCTGTCAAAACCCGGTCGGGTTTGTACTTAACCCGATCGGGTGTGAGTGGACACCAGACAATCAAACATGCTGAAGATCGAGATAATGTGGAAAATCTGATTTGAAATGTAACCCAATCGGGTTTAGTCTTACCAGGTCGAGTTGGATGTGATTTCATCACCATCCGACTGCCTATTGTACCTGATCGAGTACCCTAGCTCCAAACACCTATAAATACATCTGTTTTCCTTCTCATTTTGGCATCTCTTCTTCCATATACTTAAGATAAGTTGAGAATAGTGTTTTCTTTAAATTTTCTAGCATATTTAGGTTATGTTCGGCAAGCCACATAAGCTCAAAAAGGGATGAAATATATAAAATTCAATCAAATTTAATTAGTGTAGACTTGTTCGGTTGAAGGGCTGAAATGGGCTTGAAGTGGAAGTAGTAGGATGAAAGGAAACGTTAGACAAAGAAACGTTTACATTCGGCCGCTACTTTCCAAACTTTCCATTCCGAATGTATCCTTCGTTCATAGCATATTCGCACAAGACCTCTTCCTCAATTGGTCACTTCTCTGCTATAATTTATTCCTCAATCCATAGCAAGGTTGTCAACCAAGCTGACCCATTCTCCCAATCGTCAGCTTATCAAGTTTTGTTCTTACTTGTACTCCATGTCCTCTCTCTTATGTCTCTATTTGCTATATAGAAATTTGGGGGAAAAGACTGACAGAATCGGGCGACCTTATACGGTTATAGCCGATTGGATTACGCCGAGCAAGCCATCAACTTCTTAAAAAAACATACCAGAAAGAGAAGCCAATCATCATCTTTTGTGCAGCGACCGTTGAGTAGTGGTCCAGTGAAATTCGAACCTTAAGAAACAAAGAGAAGTTTTAGGAGAAGGGAGCTACTAATTGAATCAATTGAATCTAATGTTTTGTTCATCTTATTCAAGAGCTACTGCTAATTCAATCAGTTCCCTAGAAGGGAGGTCTAACGTTTAGGAGAAACAATGGCCACGAGTATTATTTCAAAGATAAAAATCATTGTATTACATATTTTATTCAATTAATAAATCATATGCCCTTTAATGTAATTTCATATTATCCGGACAATTATTCAGCTCTTTTTTGTCAAATGGGTCTACTCGATTTAGCTAGCAACTCAGATTCAGCATCTCAAAATTCAGCTCCAGACAATAATATCTGATTCAGACAATAGTCCTTAATTCAGACATTAGCCCCTAGCTCTTTGTGCCAGACATAGCCTTAGCCTTCAAATGAGGAGCTAAACTCCTTTTTATTGATTTTTCTCTTGAAGCTTGTTTGATCTTAAAGTCATGAGTCATTTTCTTATCTTCTTCCCTTGAATACCGATGGCACTAAAGTCGTTGTATGTCTCAAAATAATATCAATACTTGTACTAATATCGTAGCATAGAGTAGTGAGGATCGTATCCACAAGGAAGGAAATATCTTTCTTTTAAGAAATAGTAAGAGGGGGTTTATGATTGTTTTGAACTTCGAAGTATTTAAACACTGAGATGAACGCCTTATGTGGTTTAAATTAATAGAGATGGAGACTTGGTTTTTCTTATATGCAATTAATGAAATGTTCGTGAATCCCGATTATATATATATATAGGGATAAGATCAGATACAAAGTGTTCTTCCAATACAAAATACAAATCCATCTCATCCATCCAATATTACACAATCAAAGGCACTGATTGTTTGGGCTAATAATTATTAATCGTTAGTTGGTTAGTACAACATCAAAGGAAAGTTTTCCTATTTTTTAGCAATTGGTATGCGGCTAGTGGGGAGAAGTTTTCTCATCTTCTATTAAATACACGTATATCTAATTCATTCAATGGCTAGGATTAATTTACATTTTGTAAATTAAGATGAGTTTGTATATGATCCCAAATCTATATTTATATATATATATAGGGAGCGGTTCCGGTAAGAACAGATCTTAGGAAAAAAAAACAGATCTTAGGAGAAAAATGAGAACGAATGTGGACCGTTGGATTGTATTATGTGGAACCAAATTGTGCATTTGGTGAGACTGAAATGTGCATTAAATGATATTGAAATGTGCAAAATAAAAATTTAAACTCAAGTGTGCATTAGATGAAACTAATATGAGCGGGAAAAAGTACAAAAATAACATCACATCGTACTTTTTATTATGCACATTTCAGCTTCACCTAATGCGCATTTCAATTTCATGTAATGCACAATTCAACTGCACATAATGCCACTCTATCGTACCATTTGTAATGCACATTTCAATTTCACCTAATGCACGTTACAGTATCATCCAATGCACACTGAATCTCACTTGAAGCAAATCTAACGGTCCTGATTCGTTCTCATTTCTCTCATAAGATCGTGTTCTTATTTGAACCAAAACCTATATATATATATATATATATATATATATATATATATATATATATATATATATATACAAATCTTCATGTCAGGCCGGCCTGACGGGATGCTCCGTCCGGCCGAGCCCGTTTGGGCACCTTCCCGGTGGAATTTTTTGATGAATTTTTTTGAGCATGTTCCTCATCAAGTCTAGTTTGTCCATACCAAATTTCAGCTCAAAATTCGATCGGGAAGGCATTCAAATCATTTTTTGAAGTTGACGCAGTAGAGTACAGTTGAACAGAGGGAGTAGGTCCGGGCGGGTGGAAAGAAAACGACAGTGGGCAAGGAAAAGAAAAGAGGTTATGTCACCAATATTACGAGATTAGACAAATAGTTCTTTATTATCGCATTCCATTTTGGGACGTTTTTTATTATTTGTCTCTCTTTCCATTTTAGGAAAGTTTTTGAGTAAAATACCTCCACTTTTTTTTACTTTTACCCTTCTTACTTTTTGCAAACTATTTTCTCTTTCCTACTTTATCATAACTTTACTCTACTTAATATTCTCTATTTCCTACTTTATCATCACTTTATCACCACTTTACTCTTTTTAGTATACTCTCTTTCCTACTTTATCATTTACCCTACACACCAAATTTCAGCTCAAAATATAGCAAAGGAACAATAATTTTAAACGCGCAAAAGCCGCCCGGCTTTTGCGAATGTCGCCCGGGTTTCGTCTGGCACTGATTAA